CTTACCCAAAAGATTATTTCGCAACTAATTGGAATAACTGTTTTTCTTTGTTTTTTTTTTGTTTTTTTTTTTTCCTCTTTTTTCATACAGTTCGCTGATAAAATATTTAAGATACCGGGACTATTGATAATAGATACCCCCGGTCACGAATCCTTCAGTAATCTCAGAAGTCGAGGATCTTCTCTTTGCGATATAGCAATTTTAGTAGTTGATATTATGCATGGTTTGGAACCACAAACGATCGAAAGTATAAATCTATTGAAAGCTAAGAAATGTCCATTTGTTGTTGCCCTTAATAAGATCGACAGGTAATTAAAAAAAAAAGAAAAAAATTAATCATTTTACGATATCGATTATAATCCTATAATATTGATATTATTAAGTTTTAATATATTTTATTATATATATATATATATTATTATATAGGTTGTATGACTGGCAAACGATGAATCGAAAGGATGTTCAAGATATTATTAAAAGTCAGGCCATTAATACGCAACGAGAATTTGAGAAACGTTCGAAAGATGTTATAGTGCAATTTGCCGAGCAGGGCCTAAACGCGGCGTTGTTTTATGAAAATCCAGATCCACGTAGTTACGTGTCCTTAGTTCCTACGAGTGCCATAACAGGTACGTGCGATTGAGAAAAGAACGATATTTAATGCGTAAGTCATAATTGAATTCTCAGTGTATCGGAGTCTATGAAAATGATGTACATGTACAATTTCTTTTTTTTTTCTCTCTCTTTCCTTTCTCTCCTTTATTTTTCTTCTTTTTTTTTTTATCCCCTCTCCTTTCTCTTCTTTTTCTTTTTTTCTCTTCTTTTTCTTTTTCTTTTCTTTTTTTTCTCTCTCTCTCTCTCTCTCTCTCTCTCTCTCTCTCTTCTATTATTTAGGTGAGGGCATGGGAAACTTGCTAGCATTAATAGTCGATGCTTCCCAGGGCCCGTTAGCTAAGAGACTTATGTACAGCGAAGAGCTTCAAGCTACTGTACTAGAGGTTAAAGCATTACCTGGCTTAGGAACTACGATAGATTGTATTCTAGTCAATGGTATGTTGAAGGAAGGTGATACAATGATAGTCGCGGGAACAGATGGACCTATAGTTACACAAATTCGTTCACTTCTTATGCCGCAACCGTTAAAAGAATTAAGAGTAAAGGTTAGTCGTTTAATTAATACCATTATGCAATTATAATAATTAAAATAATTTTTATTAATCATACGTGTTCGCCGTTCTCTTATTCATTAGAATGCATATATCGAGCATCGCGAAGTTATGGCTGCACAAGGTGTCAAGATCGCTGCGAAGGATTTAGAAAAAGCTATCGCAGGTATATTTTAAACGTTAATTGTTATTATTATTATTGTTATAAAAAGGAAATTGATCAAGTATTAATAATATCGTTCTATCTTTGTATATCTTCCCTTATTTAGGATTGAATCTTCAAGTCGCACAAAAACCAGACGAGGTCGATGTCCTTAAAGAAGAAATATCTAAGGAACTCAGCAGTGCTCTTGGAAATATAAGACTTGCCGAAAGGGGTGTATACGTCCAAGCGTCAACATTGGGTGCCCTAGAAGCATTGTTAGATTTCCTTAGGAGCAGCAAAATTCCGGTAAGTGGTATCAAAAAGTTTAGGAAAAAAAAATGTATATATATATATATATATATAAGCTGTTAATTTTGAAAGTGGGGCAAGTTCATTTTGTGAAAAAAATAGTTAAAGCTCATTCTTACAAATTAACATAAAATTTTATATATATATATTTTATATTTTATATTTTATATTTTATATTTTATATTATATATTTTATATATTATATATATATTTTATATTTTATATTTTATATTTTATATTTTATATTTTATATTTTATATATATATATGGGATCTCTACCGTACCTTATGTTCGTCGATGAATGAACTTTTATGTATCTTAAAAAATGAACTAGATGTCGCCGCGTGTCATTTTTTCTTTCTTTTTTTCTTTAACCTCTTTTTTTTTTTTTTATCTTTTGCTTCAAGCTTAAATCTTTCACTAGATGTCGCGATCAGTCGTAAAAGACGACGATCGTGTTCGTCGCGTTAAAACGTAAAACCGAACGAAAAATTTATCAATTTAATATTTTCGAAAAATCGTCACATATTTAAAAAAAAAAAAAAAAAGAAGGCATAGGTGGAAAAGAAAATGAACGATCACAAGCAAAGAGCTAAGTACTCATTCATAGAAATTTTTATCCCCCTCGTATACCTATTATTATTAATTCGAAATATTAATGTATAAAATATAATGAATCAAATTTTAACTTGTATTTTACGACGTCGAGTTATTCTCAAAAAAAGAAAAAAAAACATTTGTCAAAATTTTCTTTTTTCTCTCTCTTTCTCTCTTTTTTTTTTCTTTCCTTTTTTTTCTTTTTTCTTGTCATCTAAATAATCACACGCCAAAGAACGAACGAACGAACGATTAACGATAATAAAACAATTTGAAAAGATAA